CCGTCCCCCCCATCCCCACGTGTGCCCCCGTGTCCCCATCCCCGCGCTGCTGTCCTTTCCCGTGTCCCTGTCCCCACCTGAGGCCGATGGCCAGGCTACGCATGGCGGCCCCGCAGCCAGTGCCGGTGGGGTTGAAGGGGATGCGATAGCCCTCAGGCTCCCCAGGCCGCAGCTGCGAGGTGCCTGGGGGGGGGGGTCAGTGGTGTGAGACCCCCTGACACCCCCTGACTCCCCCCAGACCCTCAGACCCCACTCACCCAGGATGCTGGTGGGCCCCGGCTTGCGGCCCTCCATGTCGCCCATGGCGGCCACGTAGCGGCGAGCCAGCTCCTGCAGGAGGGGTTCCCCCTCCAGGCCTGGGGGGGGGGTTAGTGAGGACCCCCCTGGGCCACCCAAACTGGAGGGGAGGGAGAGGCCCCATGCACCCCCCAAATCGAAGGGGAAGAGGAAGACCCCCAGTGCCCCACCCCCAAACGGTGGGGAAAGGGAACACCGCTCCGTGGAAAACCCAAAACTGAAGGGGAAGGAGGATGCCCCCCATGGACCCCCAGAAGTGGAGGGAAAAGGGGACACCCCCAGAACTAGAGGGAAAGGGTGACATCCCCCGTGCACCCCCACAACAGGAGGGGAAGTGGGACAACATCCATGAACACCCCAAAACTCAGGAGAAATGGGGAATCCTCCTGAGCGCCCCCAATTGGGTGGGAAAGGGGCAACCCCTTCTGGGCCCCCCAAATTGGGAGGGGGAAGTGGGCCCCCTCAGCACTCAATACGGGAGGAAAGGGGACATAAATTCCCACAAACTGTGGGGAAAAATGGGAGCCCCCCCCGCGGGGAAATGGGGACACCCCAATTTTTGGGGGGGAGAAATAGGGAACCTCACTGGAGCCCCTAAAAGGGGGGCAGAATTAGGATGCCCCCAAACCCCCTCCAGGGCTGGCCAGGGCCCCCCAAAAGCCCCTCCCAGGGACCCTCCAGTCTGGGTCCGGGGTATAACAGGAACCTGCAACCCCCCCCAGAAACCCCCCTAAGCAGCTCAGAGGTATAACGGGGACGCCCAAACCTCCCCAGGGTCCCCCCCCATACAGCCCAGAAGTATAACAGGGACCCCCAACACTACCCCCGGACCCCCACCATGCAGCCCAAGGTTTATAACAGGGACCTCCAACCCCCCCCCAGGGAACCGGCATGCAGCCCAGGGGTATAACAGGGACAGCCCCCCCCCCCCACCCCCAGAACACTCACTCCACTGTGGGCCTGGGGTACAATGGGGACGCCCTCTCCCGGGGACCCTCCCCTGTGTCTGTGGGGTGCAGTGGAGACTCCCCCCCCCCCCCCACCTGTGGCCAGGCCCTCGGCGGTCGCGAGGTGGAGGACAGTGTCATCGCTGACGGGCCACTCAGGGGGCTCGAGGGTGATGGCCTCCAGCCCCCCCAGCTCAGCCAGCTCGGCGTGGATCTGGGATCCCGAGGTGCAGTACTCCCAGCGGCCCCCCCGGTACCCAAGCGCATCCCCCACCCCACTGAGCACCATGGCTGCTTCGTAGGCTTCCACCGAGGGCACCCTGGGAGAAACAGTGGGGTTTCAGGGGGGTGCCAGCGGTGGGGGGTATGCCGCGAACCCCCGCGGACACTCACGTCTCCTCCATTGCGGCAGCAGCTGGGGATGCCCATCAGGTTTGGGGCACGGGGCCAGCGCTGGCCAGGGGCCCTTAAGGAGGATGAGGACACCCTGGGGACTGGGGACTGGGGGGGGGCGGGATGGGGTGCTGTCCCCATGGGGACGGGGATGAGGGACGCCAGGACCTCTCTCCTTAGGGGGTGGCAGGGAGGGGAAAGGCTCCAGGGGGGCCCAAAAGACACTGAGAAGGGACTGGGGGGCTCGGGGGGGCACCCAGAGGGGCATGGAGGGGGGCTGTACCCAAAGAGGGCTGGGGATAACCCAAAGGGCACGGAGGAGCCTGGGGGAGGGGGGGCACCCTGAGGGGGGACTGGGGGACATCCAAGAGGGAGACAGGGGACACCCAAAGGGACCTGAGGGGTGCCCCAAAGGGGCACGGAGGCACGTGGGAGGCATCCAAAGGGGCACACGGGCACATGGGGAGCACCCAGAAGGGCTGGCGGGGTACCCAAAGGGGATGTCCAGAGGGGACAGAGGCCTCTGAAGGATTTGGGGCACAGAGGGATGGGTTTTAGCAAGCCGCAGGGGAAGGCAGTGACAGGGAGAAAAGGAGTATCTCCAAGGAAAAATGCCTCTGCCAAATATTTTGCCATATTTATCTCACTGGGACAGGGCAAAAAACATAGCCCCAAGCCATATTTGGGGGTGAAATGCCCCAAAACTGCTATCACCTGGGTCCTGCCCGGATGGGGCAGCGATATGGAGCCCTGCTCTGACACCTGGCGTCAGCTCTGACTTAAAACTGCTGGGGTTTGCTGTTGAAAAATAGTAAAATTAATGTTCGGTGGTGGGCAGCGAGCAGTTAAAAGATCGTCCTTAAATTTCAGAGCTTTAATTACAAGTCAAACAGCAAAGCCTCAGTGCAGGCCCCATGCCAGTCCCAGAAGAGTGCAACTCCTGGCTCCCCAGCACCAGGTTTTCATCCTTATTTTTGGCCCAAATTCTGCCAAACAAGACACAGATCTTGGATCTGTTGGTAAAAATCCTGTTGGGGATGAGGGGGGGGCAACAGGTGGTTGGTAGTAAAATAGGTGAAAAATCAGGTTTAAAATTCATTGTCAATTTGGAAAAAAATATTTTAAAAAATTGGTGTACAGACAGTAACAACTTTTTGGATGTATTTTTTTTGGACGTACAGAAATCGAGGTTTCATCCTGCCATGTTCCAAAGACTGTGTTCAGGCCCTAAACAGGAAGCTATGGACTGTGTGGTCCAGGGTCAGGAAGGGGGCAGGGGACCCCCAGACCCCTCGGGTCAGGTCTAGGACAGGGGCAGGACAACTGCAAACCCTGCAGGTCATGGACCAGACAGGGACAGGGCACCCCAAACCCCACAGGTTGGTGGGCCAGGACCGGTGCAGGGAAAGCCCAAACCCCGTGGGTCACAGCCATGACAGGGGTAGAGAGCCCCAAACCCCATGAGTCAGTGCCAGGACAGGGGCAAGAAACCCCAAACCACACAGGTCAGGGCCAGGACTGGGGCAGGACACCCCCAAACCACACGGGTGGGTGATGGCCATGACGGGGCACGGCACCAAGAAACCCCATTGAGGAGGGTCGGAACAAGGGCCAAGAACCCCCAAACCCCACGGGTAACGGCCCAGAGAGTGGATCAGGTCCAGAACAGGAGCAGGGCACCCCCGAGCCAAGTTGCTTTTGGGAAGGGAGTGGGCCAGGAAACCCCGAACCTCAAGGTTCAGGGCCAGGACAGGGGCAAGGATCCCCCAAACACCGCAGATCAGGGCCAGGACAGGGGTAGGGTGCCCCCAAACTGCACTCGTAGTGGCCAAGACAGGGGTGAAGAACCCCACACCTCGCCCGTCAGGGCCACAACAGGGACGAGGCAGCTTGAAATCCCCGCGGGCCACGGCCAGGGCGGGGCAGGGAACCCCAAACCTCACGGATCGCAGCCCATACAGGGGCCAGGCACCCCCAAAAGACTGGATCGGGGCCAGGACAGAGGCAAAGCACCCCCAAACCTGCGGATCAGGGTGTGGTGGGCTGACACACCTGGGAAGGCGTTTTTAAGATTTGGCTTTATTCCTCAGGACCCTGCTCTGATTCGGTTGGCGCTAGATTACATTCATTTCCCCAGGTCGAGTCCGTTTTGCCCGCGACGGTAACTGCTGAGCGGTCTCCCTGTCCTCCTCTCGACCCACGAGCACCTTCGTTCTATTTTCTCTCCCCCTTCCAGCTGAGGGGGGGCAGTGACATGGCGGCTCTGGGGGGCCCCTGGCGTCCTGCCAGGGTCAGCCCACCGCAGCCCCCCCGCCCCTCCATCCCTTTCCCGCTCTGTCCTGCTCCGGCCCCTCTCCGGCCAGCCCACCGCCCTGTCCCCCCTCTCTCTGCCGCTCTGTCCCTCCTTCGTCTTCTCCTCCTCCTCCTCCTCTTCTTCTTCTTCCTCCTCCTCCCCCGGGGAGGCGGCCATGGGGCCTGCGGGGGGCGGGGCCGGGCCGGGGATGGTGTCCCTGCAGGGTCAGGCAGCAGGAAGGAGCGCCCCGGGGCATGCTGGGAGCTGTAGCCCTGGGGCACGGGGCTGCCGGGGGCCCTGGTGGTTCCCGGGGCATGCTGGGAGCTGTAGTCCTGGGGCACGGGGCTGCCGGGCGGCCATGTTGGCCTCTGCAGTCTCTGCTCCAGCTGCGGCCCGGCTGAGGTGAGGGCTGGGGCTGCCCGTGAGGCGAGCGAGGCCCTTGGGCGGGCGTGGGGGTGTGGGAGCCGGGCCCGGCTG